TCTTTTTCATTTCTTTCTCACACTCTCACACAAACACATGCTCGCAGTTAATTCTGCCGTCGTGAGTCCCATTCGGGACGGATACGAGAATAATAATAATAATAATAATAAATAAAACTCGGATGTTGAGCCATAAAAAAATGTAGAAGAGAAAAGGACATATGGATACGAGTTCAGAGTAACTCTCCATCACTGTAACATGATACTATATATAGTCAGAAAGTGCGATAACTAGGCACAAAACTGACAGAGCACTGAGACATTCGACGTCCTGACACCCCGCTTTCTGACTGTATATAGTATCAGGTTACAATACTAATTAAATTTTTCTTTTAAGAACACCAATAACTTCACACCGGAGCTCGCGCTATCCGCCGACTTTACTTGACCCTTGAATGACTCACGACTGCCATCCAGAGCACACGAGAAGTCCATCGAACCTTCGACTCGGCGAACCTGCAAGAAAGCACCACTCCCTGCTCAATACACAGTGTTTCGGGGAATTCACCCCTCATCAGTTGAGCTTGAGTAGGCTGAGGAAGATTTTGCCTGAAGAGCACCACTTATATAGTGCTCTCCAGGCACAAACATCACCAGGGATACAAACTTACAGAGATGCTCCGTTTCCAGCGCGACAAGTCAAGTGTCAAGTAAAGTCGGCGGAATAGCGCGAGCTCCGGTGTGGGGAGCAAACCCTTTCTTACAAATCATCGCCGAGGTCGCAACCACTACTTCGTACCAATAACTTCATCAAGAAAAATCAATGAAAAATCAAAAAACGAAAAATCAAACAAAAAACTTGATAAACAAATAAACACAGTAGAGAAGATCAGAAAATTACGTAACTAGGCGAGACTCAGCCGCCACGACGGAACTATCCAAAAAACGTTGGACGGGGAAGCCCCGACGAGAACGAGCATCTCGGTCCAAGGATACAAAGAATACTGGATCTCAGTAAGGAGAAAGAGAGACGGGCACGCAGCAGACTCATGACAACAGAGAATTCTCTACCAGAAGACTCACAGTAGAGAGGTTGGGCATAACGAAAATTCGTAACTTAGACGTAGTCTGGGCACGAGTAACGAAAAAGGAAAGGAACTTTCGCGAGGAGGACCGCGAAACTTGAAGATCTTACGTTTTGAACTTTCGCTTCTTTCTCGCAAGCTACATGTACATGTACATGTAGCTGTGTTGATGCACGTGGTGTCAAGATTTTTTCGCCATGGCCTTTTCAAGCCGTTCTGCGAGCTCTTCCTACTCGGCATCCTGTGGAGCTGATGGATCTCTTTCCCGCTCTCTCAGCGATCCCCTGTCACCTGGACAGCGCTCGGCTAGTTCTGTCAGTTCTGTCAGATCTGGAAGTCCTGTCAGTGCTCGCCCTGTGACAATTTTTTCTGCTGGATCCCCGCAGCAGAAATCTGCCACTTCGGTGTCTTCGTCTTCCCCTGCGATGTCTCAGCAAAGGACATTTGATCTCGCGATGGACTTGGCCCTTCTCAGGCAGCTTCGTTCTCACGACCAACTGTTTCGACGAGGGTCTCCAGCCATGGAGATCGTTACCTGTGAGCTGGAAAACTTGAGCCCAACTCATTTCGGTGGTGTGACGAAGAAAGCTATTCGGGACAGAGTGATGAAGCTGCTGGAGCTGTTCGCGCAAACAGCGGAAAAGTGCTCGAAAGGGTCACCATAGTCACACTACGTTTTTCGTTGAACACAACAGATTTTCTTTACGAATTTTCGTCACTTCCAGACGGCTCAGATTCCGAAAGATCTTTACGAATTTTCGTTATGCACAACCTCTCTAGTGTACGCGACAAAGACGTTTAAAAACCCCAGGGCACAACTGACTACAACCACCATGAGTACGGAACACTAGAGCAGTAGAGGGGTGAAAGAACCACGCTCTACATTGCTTACACTGCGTTCCTTTTTCCTTTTTCCTACATTCTATATAAGGCTACTGTATAAGTACAAATTTTCGTTTGGAATTTATTTTCGCTATATTCGTTAGGGGGCACGAAATAACCAAAGTTCTTTTTCTGAACGCTGCGGATGACAGACCTCGACGAAAATCAAAATTTAGTATGTAACAAACCTGCTGGTGGAGTGATCTAACGAAAGATTTCCTGAACAAAAATGTATACTTATAACTGTCACTCACTTTCTCCTGCCAAAAATACAAAATTGCTAAAATACAATACTTCTACAGTAATCAAAATGCCGAAGACGTCGAAGAGCAGTTATTGGAAGCTAAACTGTGAAAGAAAAGCAGTAGCCTCAGTCAGCATGATCAAAACGCGACGCAGCTCACCAGATCAAGGTGTGGGTCCTCTTCACTCCGTAGAGTGCCGAAAGACGGGCCCACGCCCCTACATGGCTACTTCCCCTTGTCTAACCCCCAAGACGATTATGATAGTAGCCGACTGGCCGAAATTTAGAAACGGAAAACGTTGCGAGCGTCTCAGAACTCCCTGACTACAATATACATGTACATGCATGATGATGATGATGTGTTGTGTAGAGTGCTGCTGTGGATGCCACCAGCCTTTTTACGCCTTTGCGGCTTTTGGCCTTGAACTGGCTGTAGCTACTTATGGTTGATAAATATGGTGGTAAAGACACACCTGGCAATATGGCGGTAAACACACGCCTGCCTACACACGCTCTCTAGGCTGCAAAGTTCTGGCACAGAGCTCTCCTTCTCACCACCACCACTATCAGTTCGCGCCTGGCGCCTGGTCGATGCATGGCTGGCGGTATCCGGCATAGCAGGCTGGTACATCAAGTAGCGCATGGCACATAGATGATGACACAGCAACGACATAGCTCGATTGCGACGTACGTTTCGTCCCCGCTGGACTCATCAGGCAATCTTCTTCTTGGATGTCTTCATACGGAGCTTGACTCGGGAGAATGAAGTTGAAGACACCACTGCAGCTGTACTTATGGTTGATAAATATGGTGGTAAAGACACACCTGGCAATATGGCGGTAAACACACGCCTGCCCACCCACGCTCTCTAGGCTGCAAAGTTCTGGCACAGAGCTCTCCTTCTCACCACCACCACCATCAGTTCGCGCCTGGCGCCTGGTCGATGCATAGCTGGCGGTATCCGGCATAGCAGGCTGGTACATCAAGTAGCGCATGGCACATAGATGATGACACAGCAACGACATAGCTCGATTGCGACGTACGTTTCGTCCCCGCTGGACTCACTGCCTGTAAAAAAAGGATCTCATTTCCTCTGCCCTGCATTGAGTCTACTACGATCTGGCCCGGCTGTGTACCACGTGAAGTGTACGTGGGTGAACAGACAGGCCAGTGAACAGACAGGTAGGGTCATAATGATTTTAGTACAGGCGACATCGCTCACTAGCACTGTTGCATGTGATGACACTTGAACAGCTAGTCCGCCTCTGCTCTGGCGACACAGACAGTCGGCTTCATTTCGGAGTTGGTGTGGGAGCATCAGCAGAAAGATCGGCCCGCAATGATTATGTAGACCTACATATGGATGTACACGAGTAGCACTGTACTTTTGTAGTGTGGAGCAGGCAGTAGAATCTGATGTCATGTTGTACAGTCATGTACATAATCTACGCGTAGATCTACAACTTTTGCCAGATCAGACAGATGAATGAAGCCACAGAGCTCTGGCCGCTGGAGCGTGCAGCGAACGACATAGGGTGTTGGACTGCTAGCTGCACCGTCCGTGCTCCAGTTCAGGATATCATTTCCTCTGCCCTGCCTTGCGTCTACTACGACCTAGCCCGGCTGTGTACCACGTGACGTGTAAGTGTGTGAACAGACAAGCCTAGCGTCTACATAAGTATCTAATATTGAGTGAGTGCGAGGTCAATGTATGAAAAAAGCCGAGTAAAAGACCGAGGCGAAGTCGAGGTCTTTTACATGGTCTTTTATTTCCTGTACTGATCAAGTATGAAATCAATAGTGAGGTTTTGCATTCCGAATTTCGGCTCGGCGTTCTTCGGGCATTTGGCGAACGTCAAAATGTCGAATTTTCGCACCAACGTTTGTTTTGCAAGTCGAAAATGATGTGTTTTAATTTCGTGAGCCCCAGCATCAGCAACGTCCTGTCCCTTTCTCCTTTTGTTGCTGATTCCGACGAACTTTGATCGCCCAAAGACTCGAGAGCCAAACCCGCCTCAGTCGCCTCAGAAAAACCAACTCCATGGCCAAATCAAATTTTATGCGTATTGCCATAGTCTTTTCAGCCATACAGATGACGGTGAGGACACTCCAGGCGAAAGATAGTAGGCAGGCAGTGGAGAGGAGCAATCAGAGGTACCTGACGATGCTGATGTCACCAAAGACGCCTGCGAAGCCATGCCGAGATAAGAAACCTCTTTGAATAAATCAAGCGCGAGCGCTCTTCTACAAGAAAATTCATCCGAAAAATATGTTCGGCCAAGTGAGCTTTTTCCAAACAAGCATGCCGAATCTTCGTGTGCATTTTCGACCTCGCTCCCGCGTGCCGAATCTTTTTGCTGAATTTTGGAATGCAAAACCTCACTAATATTAGATTTATCAGGACTGACCAAAGCATGTGTTCAATTGCTAAAAAGGAGTCAAATATAAGGGGTCAATATAGCCATAAGGAGTGAAATATGCAGGAATATTTGACTGCTTAGGTATGGCAAAATCTATGTGAGTCAATACTAAGGGAGTGATAATCAGAATTACACTGTACACTGTACACTATACAGGCGACATCGCTCACTGACAGTCTGTTGCATGTGATGACACTTGAACAGCTAGTCCGCCTCTGGCGACACAGTCGACAGTCGCCTTCATTTCGGAGTTGGCGTGGTATCAGCCGAAAGATGGGCCCGCAATGATTTTAGACCTACTCGTAGATCTACTAGTACGTGTTGATATACACGAGCAGCACTGTACTTTTGTAGTGTGGAGCAGGCAGTAGAATCTGATGTCATGTTGTACAGTCATGTACATAATCTACGCGTAAATCAAAAACTTTTGCCAGATCAGACAGATGAATGAAGCCACAGAGCTCTGGCCGCTGGAGCGTGCAGCGAACGTGTAGATGGGATCTTTGACTGCCGCACCGTCCGTGCATCAGTTGAATGCGGAATCGTTTTTTTGTTGCTCGTTGCCGTCTGTGGGTGTTCTGGGCGGATGGGTGTTCTGCTTGCGGCCCTTCATATTGTTATTTTCTGGAAGTTTGAGTGACGCTCCGTCGCAATCTGGTTGCGGAAGTGAAGCGCTTTCGTTCGTCAGGTGGCGTTTAGATTTGTGGGACTACCAATCGTCCGGGTCAACGTTACCAGAATAGCAGACGCCGGACAGGAACCACCCGGCCGTTATCGGGAGCAGGTGCTTCTCCCTGGCTTGAAGTCAGGTAAGGTTCTCCCATTCAGTCCCCGACATTTCACTGAATGTCTGCGCTGAGTTCTAGCAGTACAGCAGCCCTAACCCATAACCATGGTAACGAATTATTGGAAAAGGTTTCTGCTGATGTACAGTACTCCGTGTCGTGTGCTCACATTTGTCCGCATGCTATTGTGTTGTTCGTAGTGAAGCGCAGCAACGGCAATTCAAACGCGAAGGTATTTTCGGCTGCTGCAATATCCACTCACTCACAATCCGTGTGCTTTACAAACAGAGAAAATTAGTCGATGAATAATTTCGTCAAATTCCAAAGGAAGGACTTCTTTCAATTTGAAACGGTGACCATTCAGCAGAAAAACTAAATTTCACATGTACATGGTTATGGCTCATGAGTGCACAATTAGTTACAGGGCTGCCACACTTGGAGGGAGAAAAATCTGACGGGGTGCCGGGTTGTCCCCCGCTTGGGGGCAGGGGGTACGGCCCCCTTGGTGAAACTATTTAGGAAAATGGCTTGCTGTTGGGGCCCCAGAACACATTTGTAACTGTGCAGCACACGTGCTACAACCATGTCAATTATGAATAAATGGCCAACTGGACTAAAAAGCGCTCAAAATATAATAATCGGTTGTCCCTCTTTGCGGAACAAAATCGGTTGCTTTGTCGGACAGGCGATCAAAAATCGGAGTAAGTGGCAGCCATAAGTTATATTCATTGCCATTTTACGACTATTGTCTCCTCGTAGGTTATTGAAATACTTTGATCCGATCTCTTTGTCATTTTAGGGGGAAATCCTTATCTGTGTGCTCTTTGACCAACTGAGCACATGATAATGACGTTGTTGGCTGAGGTTTGAGCTTTCTGTGATAGAGGAGAGTGGAATGGCATTGATGGTGGAATTTATTCGCATATTTGGCTTGGGGTGGACTTTGCTGTAATCCCGCGCCTGATTTGTGGCAGCTAGTTGATGGAGTCTGGTATGCTGGCGTTGCTCTCGCCCGGAGCTTTCCAAAGAGCCTAAGATTGTGGAAATGCAGTGAAGGAGGTCAAAGTTGTAGCCTGTTGAAGGTGTAAATTGTGCAGAAAATATAAATTCTGTTTCATTCTGTGCTGGAAATCAGTACATAAAGGGATATTTATTTATTTTTCTTCGTTTTTTGTTTCCCTACCATGGCTGGCTGCCGCCCCTCCCTCCATATTGGCCTATATTCTCTGGCCACGGGAAGGTGAATAAATAACTGATGCAGCATGCATGGTGTGCGACAATACCATACCAGTAAAGAAGCTGGTCAAATAGTGAAATAGGGCTTTCAACGCAAGGATCATAACGTGAAGCAAGTTGGTAGGATGAGTATGTATGCGAAGTGTATGGAAGGAATGCATGCAAGGAGAGAGTGCATGTTCCAATACCACGTTATGTGTGCGAACAATTGGAAAAATGAAGAAAAAAACCGATAAGCTAGCACCACAGCATAATAATAATTACTCCGTAAAATGTACCTGACCTGTCAGTGTGTGTTCAGGATCAAACATCGTGTTATGTTTGAAAAAATGACAAAAATGAAAATCTAGCACCATACACCCTAACTACTCGATTCAGCCTCTGGGAAATCCAGATATATAATAATTGGTTTACAAATCAATTGGCTGGAAAGCCCAGTGCCCTCCCTATGCTTTGCTTTCACCTAGGTCATCATGCTTGTAACTTCAGTTTCCTAATCATCAATTTCTATAAAACTGATAGAAACGTCTTTTCAATATGATTATCAAGTACATCTTTATGTATGTTTTTTGCGAAGACGTTTCTATTAGTTGCATAGAAAAAGAGGATTTCTTATGGTATGCAAGCTCCACTGCACAGCACAGCACTCCACAGCAAACGCGACGCAGCTCACCAGATCAAGGTGTGGGTCCTCTTCCGGTGCCGAAAGGCGGGCTCACACCCCTACATAGCTACTTCCCATTGTCTAACCCCCACCAAAAAAACATTGTTGGGCTTGGTGTGGGCTGTGCAGTATTTCCGTTGGTACCTGCTTGGTAGAAAATTTGAATTTGTTATATGCACAGCGACCATTCTCTGGAACATTTGGCTAACTTTCAACATCCACCGGCGATTGTGGCTCGCTGGCTGGAATTTTTGTCTGAATGTGAGTTCACCATTATTGTACAGGGCAGGTCGATCACACGCTAACGCTGGCAACATCCCCACACCCCTCATCCGCCGTTTCAACTGGCCGTGGTCAAGATGGGAAACGGAACAGGAGAAGGACCGAGATCTCGCCCAAGTAGTGTCCTGGCTAGGTATGGACTCTCCGCCTTGCCCGCAGGATATGATGGGTAGCAGTCCTGAGGTACGTATTTTGTGAAAAAATCATGAAATGCTGGTTCATCATGAGGGGGTGTTGTGCCGTCGTTGGGAGGACCCCTGCCCCAGTAAGCCATCTATCTTGCAAGTCGTAGTTCCCCGACATTTACGTTCTTTGGTTGTGCAAGAGTATCATGACCAGGGGGGGGGGGACATACGGGTTCTACACGCCTGCAGAAGAAACTGACCCAACAATTTCACTGGGTAGCCATGAAGAAAGATGTCTTAGATTGGGTTGCAAGTTGTTCTTCCTGTAGCCAGTCGAAACGTCCCGTAGGCAGAGGGTCTGGCGCTCCACCACAGTCTTCCTGGACGGGGTGTCCTTTTGAGCGAGTAGCAATGGATTTGATCCCCAATTTACCGGAGACAGCGGAAGGGAACCGCCATATTTTGGTTGTAGTGGACTATTGCTCCTGATCGGTTGCATACCGATCAGGGCAAAAACTTTGATGGCCCTTTGTTTCGCAGTGTTTGCTTTCTGCTTGGCATAGATAAGACCAGGACAACTGCGTACCATCCACAGAGTGATGGTCTGCTTGAAAGATTCAACCCAACGCTTCAGCGTAGCCTGGCACACTATGTCTGCAGGAATCATCGAGATTGGGACATCAAGTTGCCAGCCTTCTTGATGGGATACCGCTCGTTGCCGCAGACTAGTACCGGCTACAGTCCAAGCTATCTACTCTTTGGTCAAGAGTTATGCCTACCTCAAGACTTGGCATCTGGATTACCGCCAGGAGAAGCATCCGCAGTATCGTCACAGCCGGAATTTGTGAGTGCTCTCCGCCGACGCCTGGAGGACGCTCATGCACAGGTCCGGGAACACCTGGGCAACGTGCACCGTTATCAAGCGCATATCCGTGATCGCTACGCTAAGGCCTTGACGTTTGCAGCAGGTGACGCAGTGTGGCTTCTGGTGCCAACTATACCGACGGGTTCACCCGCCAAGTTTGCTAGACTTTGGGACGGACCGTACCTAGTCGAGGAGAAGCTCTCAGCCGTCACCTACCCCATCAAACTGTCTGAGCCCACGGCACGTCGGCTGATAGTGCACGTCCACCGGCTGAAAAGTTGCCATCATCGACCGAGTCGGCTGCAGGAGGTTCACGAGCAAGATGAGTCGGACCCACCGCAGCCCATGGCATCCACCCTGACTCCGTCCTACCAGCCTGATGCCACTGATACCGCCGCCCGAGACGAGGGGGACACCGCTCGGGTATTTGGCAGTGCTCCGCCAGTTGGCGTGATGGAAAGGCGAACTCCGCGTTCCCGCCATCCGCCCCAGCTGTTTGGGAGTCCTGTGTGGCACGAGTAAGTGACTTCAGTGGTATTGACTGGATTAGTGGTGTTCGATATTACAGTTAGTCTTTGAACAGATTTTGATAAGAACTCCAATTTGACCTGCACTCGTTTAGTTAAATTGTTAGCCATAATCTTAGTCTAATTTATAACGTTAAACACGAGGACGTGTTCTTTTCCGTGTAAGCGGGGGGATATGTCGTATCCATACTATTGACACGTGCCTTGTAGGCCTCTACGTGACAAGTCTGCCTTATTTAGGTGTCTAATTATTTATCTATCTCCCATAAACGGGTTCATAATCGTCTTTATTTTATGTCTTCACGCAAGGCCTGGGGCCTTCCTTATTTGGTATGCGCTGTTATTTCCCCACCTAGCTCCCGCTCTTTATGCAACAGTTTGTACACATATTTACTACGGTTTGATACGCTATTGCATGCGGGACCAGCAATTTGGTGGCCATGGACTTCCATGGCCGCAACTAGATAGTATTGCCATCACCTTCCTTTTCTCTCTATCTCTCTTGCCTTGTGCTCTTCATTATCTTCTCTTGTACTGAGTTACATGTACCCTCCTGTGAAGATGTGAGTAAACCTGAACGCTGCTGTGAGTGTACGTGTTTGTATATGCCTGAGTGTGTGTGTGTGTGAGAGTATGTCTAGGTATATGTGTGTGCGTGCGTACGAGTAATTCTGTTGGTGGGACTATCTCCAAGTGGCCACCACTGCACGGCCTTGTAATGTGAAGGTTTATTAGTAAGTTAGTTCATGTCGAACAGCAGCGTGGGGACCAACCCCGGGGCCGACCGGGTACGACACATGTAGTAGCCGACTGGCCGAAATTTTTAAAAAAGATGGCGAGCGGCTCAGGATGAATGAGTAAAATGTACTAGTACTTGCGTGATGATGATGTGTTGTGTAGAGTGCTGCTGTGGATGACAGCCTTTTTACGCATTTGCCTTTGACCTTGAATTGGCTGTAGGTACTGCATGTAAAAAAAAAGTATCTCATTTCCTCTGCCCTGCCTTGCGTCTACTACGATCTAGCCCGGCTGTGTACCACGTGACGTGTAAGTGTGTGAACAGACAAGCCTAGCGTCTACATGCACTGTGCAGGCGACATCGATCACTGTTGCATGTACGTGATGACACTTGAACAGCTAGTCCGCCTCTGGCGACACAGTCGACAGTCGGCTTTATTTCGGATTTGGCGTGGTATCAGCCGAAAGATGGGCCCGCAATGATTTTAGACCTACTCGTACTACATGATTGTACTAGTACGTGTTGATATACACGAGTAGCACTGTACTTTTGTAGTGTGGAGCAGGCAGTAGAATCTGATGTCATGTTGTACAGTCATGTACATAATCTACGCGTAAATCTACTACTTTTGCCAGATCAGACAGATGAATGAAGCCACAGAGCTCTGGCCGCTGGAGCGAGCAGCAAACGTGTAGATAGGATCTTTGACTGCTGCACCGTTCGTGCTTCAGTTGAATGCGGAATCATTTTTTTGTTGCTCGTTGCCGTCTGTAGGTGTTCTGGGCGGATGCGTGTTCTGCTTGCGGCCCTTCATATTGTTATTTTCTGGGAGTTTGAGTGACGCTCCGTCGCAATCTGGTTGCGGAAGTGAAGCGCTTTCGTTCGTTACCTGCCCATCGGCAGGTGGCGTTTAGATTTGTGGGACTACCAATCGTCCGGGTAAACGTTACCAGAATAGCGGACGCCGGACAGGAACCACCCGGCCGTTATCGGGAGCAGGTGCTTCTCCCTGGCTTGAAGTCAGGTAAGGTTCTCCCATTCAGTCCCCAACATTTCACTGAAGGTCTGCGCTGAGTTCTAGTAGTACAGCAGCCCTAACCCATAACCATGGTAACGATTTACTAGAAAAGGATTCTGCTGATGTACAGTACTCCGTGTCGTGTGCTCACATTTGTCCGCATGGTATTGTATTGTTCATAGTGAAGCGCAGCCACGGCAATTCAAACGCGAAGGTATTTTCGGCTGCTGCAATATCCCCTCACTCTCAATCCTTGTGCTTTACAAGCAGAGAAAATTAGTCGATGAACAATTTCGTCAAATTCCAAAGAAAGGACTTCTTCCAATCGGAAACGGTGACCATTCAGCAGAAAAACAAAAATTTCACATGTACATGGTTATGGCTCATGAGTGGACAATTAGTTACAGGGCTGCCACACTTGGAGGGAGAAAAATCTGACGGGGGTGCCGGGGTGTCCCCCGCTTGGGTGCAGGGGGCACGGCCCCCTTGGTGAAAATATTTAGGAAAATTGTTTGCTGTTGGGGCCCCAGAACACATTTTTAACTGTCCAGCACACGCGCTACAACCATGTCAATTATGAATAAATGGCCAACTGGACTAAAAAGCGCTCAAGATATAATAATCGGTTGTCCCTCTTTGGGAACAAAATCGGTCGCTTTGTCGGACAGGCGATCAAAAATCGGACGATTTCCAAAAAATCGGAGTAAGTGGCAGCCCTGAGTTATATTCTTTGCCATTTTACGACTATTGTCTCCTCGTAGGTTATTGAAATACTTTGATCGATTTCTTCGTCATTTTAGGGGAAAATCCCCATTCGTGTGCCCTTTGACCAACTGAGCACATGATAATGACGTAGGTGGCTGAAGTTTGAATCGCCTCGAAAAGAGCTTTCTGCGATAGAGGAGAGTGGAATGGCATTGATGGTGGAATTTACTCGCATATTGGGCTTGGGTGGACTTTGCTGTGATCCCGCGCCTGATTTGTGGCAGCTAGTTGATGGAGTCCAGTATGCTGACGTTGCTCTCGCCAGGAGCTTTCCAAATAGCCCAAGATTGTGGAAATGCAGTGAAGGAGGTCAAAGTTATAGCCTGTTGAAGGTGTAAATTGTGCAGAAAATTTAAATTCTGCTTCATTCTGTGCTGGAAATCAGTACATAAAGGGATATTTATTTATTTTTGCTTCGTTTTTGTTTCCCTACCATGGCTGGCTTCCGCCCCCTCCCTCCATATTGGCCTACATTCTCTGGCCACGGGAAGGTGAAATAAAAAAACCAGAGAGCTTGGAAGCTCAGGGCCCTAGGCTATGCTTTTTTGCCTTGATGACCTAGACAAAAAAAGCATAGGGATGTTTTAATTCTTATAGATTTCTACTTTTTGTTTTTAGACATAACCTGGGATTCGAACCCGCACTATCGCCCTGCATGCATCCCCCGATACACTTCGCACACATACTAATTCTTCCAAGTTGCTTCACGTTATGATCTTGTAGTTGAAAGCCCTATTTGAATATGCATTGTTGCCTGCCGTCTTTGATTGTACGGTACGGTACGGGACAGGTACCGTCGAGGGTAATACGACACCATCTATCGCCTTGATGATGGCAAAATAAGAATAGGGATGTTATAAATTTTTCAATTTTCCTATTTTTTCAGGCATTACCTGGGATTCGAACCCGCACTATCGCCCTACATGCATTCCCCATACACTTCGCATTCATACTCATTCTTCCAAGTTGCTTCACGTTATAATCTTGCGCTTGAAAGTCCTATTTGAATAGGGCGGCCAGCTGTATGTAGCCAGCTGTGTTTGAAGGTACGGGACAGATACGGGATAGCGCCAGGCGTGACACAAACAAACAAACACACAAACAAACACCAAATTAAAGCTGTGTGGACCCTGGCTAGCGCCAGACGTTACTGAAGTAACGTCTTCTGTATAGCTACGGGAATAAAAACTAACTGATGCAGCATGCCTGGTGTGTAACAATACCATACCAGTAAAGAAGCTGGTCAAATAGTGAAATTGGGCTTTCAACGCAAGGATCATAACGTGAAGCAAGTTGGTGGGATGAGTATGTATGCGAAGTGTATGGAAGGAATGCATGCAAGGAGAGAGTGCATGTTCCAATACCACGTTATGTGGCCGAACAATTGAAAAATGAAGAAGAAGAAGAAGAAAAACGATAAGCTAGCACCACAGCATAATAATAATTACTCCGTAAAATGTACCGGACCTGTCAGTGTGTGTTCAGGATCAAACCCCGTGTTATGTATGTAGCTGACCTGTCAGTGTGTGTTCAGGATCAAACCCCGTGTTATGTATGAAAATAAATGAAAAAAATTAAAATCTAGCACCATACACCCTAACTACTCGATTCAGCCTCTGGGAAATCCAGATAATTAATAATTGGTTTACAAATCAATTGGCTGGAAATCCCAGTGCCCTCGGTATGCTTTGCTTTCACGTAGGTCATCATGCTTGTTACTTCAGTTTCCTAATCATCAATTTCTATAAAACTGATAGAAACGTCTTTTCAATACGATTATCAAGTACATCTTATGTATGTTTTTTTGCAAAGACATTTTTATTAGTTGGATAGAAATAGAGGATTTCTTATGGTATGCAAGCTCCACTGCACAGCACAGCACTCCACAGCAAACGCGACGCAGCTCACCAGATGAAAATGTGGGTCCTCTTCCGGTGCCGAAAGGCGGGCTCACGCCCCTACATAGCTACTTCCCATTGTCTAACCCCCACCAAAAAAAATTGTTAGGCTTGGTGTGGGCTGTGAAGCATTTCCGTTGCTACCTGCTTGTTAGAAAATTAGAATTATTTATATGCACAGCGACCATTCTCTGGAACATTTGGCTGACTTTCAACATCCACCGGCGATTGTGGCTCGCTGGCTGGAATTTTTGTCTGAATGTGAGTTCACCATATTGTACAGGGCAGGTCGATCACACGCTAACGCTGATGCACTCTCACGCCGCCCTGATGCTCCGACGACGCTGTTCGTAGGGGCCGTGAATAACGACGTTGGCAACATCCCCACACCCCTCATCCGTCGTTTCAACTGGCCGTGGTCAATATGGGAAACGGAACAGGAGAAGGACCGAGATCTCGCCCAAGTAGTGTCCTGGCTAGGTATGGACTCTCCAGCTTGCCCGCAGGACATGATGGGTAGCAGTCCCGAGGTATGTATTTTGTGGAAAAATCATGAAATGCTGGTTCATTATGAGGGGGTGTTGTGCCGTCGTTGGGAGGACCCCGCCCCGGTAAGCCATCTATCATGCAAGTCGTAGTTCCCCGACATTTACGTTCTTTGGTTTTGCAAGAGTATCGTGACCAGGGAGGGGGGGGGGGGGGAGACATACGGGTTCTACACGCCTGCAGAAGAAACTGACGCAACAATTTCACTGGGTAGCCATGAAGAAAGATGTCTTAGATTGGGTTGCAAGTTGTTCTTCCTGTAGCCAGTTGAAACGTCCCGTAGGCAGAGGGTCTGGCGCTCCACCACAGTCTTCCTGGACGGGGTATCCTTTTGAGCGAGTAGCAATGGATTTGATCCCCAATTTACCGGAGACAGCGGAAGGGTACCGCCATCTTTTGGTTGTAGTGGACTATTGCTCCTGATCGGTTCCATACCGACTGGGGCAAAAACTTTGATTGCTCTTTGTTTCGCAGTGTTTGCTTTCTGCTTGGCATAGATAAGACCAGAACAACTGCGTACCATCCACAGAGTGACGGTCTGCTTGAAAGATTTAACCAGATGCTTGAGCGTAGCCTGGCGCACTATGTCTGCAGGAATCATCGAGATTGGGACATCAAGTTGCCGGCCTTCTTGATGGGATACCGCTCGACGCCGCAGACTAGTACCGGCTACAGTCCAAGCTATCTACTCTTTGGTCGGGAGTTTCTGCCTACCTCAAGACTTGGCATTTAGATTACCGCCAGGAGAAGCTTCCGCAGTATCAGTGGTCACGGCCGGAATTTGTGAGTGCTCTCCGCCGACGCCTGGAGGACACTCATGCGCAGGTCCGGGAACACCTGGGCAACGTGCACCGTTATCAAGCGCATATCCGTGATCGCAACGCTAGGGCCGTGACGTTTGCAGCAGGTGACGCAGTGTGGCTTCTGATGCCAGCTATTCCGACGGGTTCAACCGCCAAGTTTGCTAGACTTTGGCACGGACCGTACCTTGTCGAGGAGAAGCTCTCAGCCGTCACCTACCGCATCAAACTGTCTGAGCCCACGGCACGTCGGCTGATAGTGCACGTCAACCGGCTGAAAAGTTGTCATCATCGACCGAGTCGGCTCCAGGAGGTTCGCGAGCGAGATGAGTTGGACCCACCACAGCCCATGGCATCCACCCTGACTCCGTCCTACCAGCCTGATGCCACTGATACCGCCGCCCGAGACGAGGAGGACACCGTTCGGGTATTTGGCAGTGCTCCGCCAGTTGGCGTGACGGAAAGGCGAACTCCGCGTTCCCGCCATCCGCCCCAGCTGTTTTGGAGTCCTGTGTGGCACGAGTAAAGTTATTTCAGTGGTATTGACTGGATTAGTGGTGTTCGATATTACAGTTACTCTTTGAACAGATTTTGATAAGAACTCCAATTTTACCTGCACTCGTTTAGTTAAATTTAGGGCTCAAACGGTTACGGTTTTACCCCTGACGGTTAACTGCTAAGCTAACGGTCGGTTAACCGGTTATCACCTATAAGCCACGGCAATCCTGCGGACTCTTTTTTATCTGTATATTTGACTATACATGTACTCATTCAAAAAATGTACCCTATTCAGTACAACGCACACTTGTACATTATCTTGCATGCTCATTCATACATACTCTCACACCAAGAGACCAGATATGACCGAGTTGACAGCCCAGAAATTGCGTACGCGTGCGACAGCCCGCGAAAGTGCACACATTGCAACGACCTGATACTTGAAAAATTGACTGAAAAGTTACTGTGTAACCGTTATCTTTATCGGTTAACCGTTAATTCTACGTAACCGGTCTGCAACCGGTTAATCGGACTAACCGTTTGAGCCCTAGTTAAATTGCTAGCCATAATCTTAGTCTAATTTATAACGTTAAACACGAAGACGTGTTCTTTTCCGTGTAAGCGGGGGGATATGTCGTATCCATACTATTGACACGTGCCTTTTAGGCCTCTACGTGACAAGTCTGCCTTTTTTCGGTGTCTAATTATTTATCTATCTCCCATAAACGGGTTCATAATCGTCTTTATTTTATGTCTTCACGCAAGGCCTGGGGCCTTCCTTATTTGGTATACACTGTTATTTCCCCACCTAGCTCCCGCTCTTTATGCAACAGTTTGTACACATATTTACTACGGTTTGATACGCTATTGCATGCGGGACCAGCAATTTGGTGGCCATGGACTTCCATGGCCGCAATTGGATAGTATTGCCATCACCTTCCTTTTCTCTCTATCTCTCTTGCCTTGTGCTCTTCATTATCTTCTCTTGAACTAAGTTACATGTACCCTCCTGTGAAGATGTGAGTAAACCTGAACGCTGCTCTGAGTGTACGTGTTTGTATATGCCTGAGTGTGTGTGTGTGTGAGAGTATGTCTAGGTATATGTGTGTGCGTGCGTAAGAGTAATTCTGTTGGTGGGACTATCTCCAAGTGGCCACCACTGCACGGCCTTGTAATGTGAAGGTTTATTAGTAAGTTAGTTCATGTCGAACCGCAGCCGTGGGGGCCAACCCCGGGGCCGACCGGATACGACACATGTAGTAGCCGACTGGCCGAAATTTAAAAAAAGATGGCGAGCGGCTCAGGATGAATGAGTAAAATGTACTAGTACTTGCATGATGATGATGTGTTGTGTAGAGTGCCGCTGTGGATGACAGCATTTTTACGCATTTGCCTTTGGCCTTGAACTGGCTGTAGCTACTGCCTGTAAAAAAAAGGATCTCATTTCCTCTGCCCTGCCTTGCGTCTACTACGATCTAGCCCGGCTGTGTACCACATGACGTGTAAGTGTGTGAACAGACAAGCCTAGCGTCTACATAATCATAATAATATAGTGCACTGTACAGGCGACATCGATCACTGTTTCATGTGATGACACTTGAACAGCTAGTCCGCCTCTGGCGACACAGTCGACAGTCGGCTTCATTTCGGAGTTGGCGTGGTATCAGCCGAAAGATGTGCCCGCAATGATTTTAGACCTACTCGTACATCTACTAGTACGTGTTGATGTGCACGAGTAGCACTGTACTTTTGTAGTGTGGAGCAGCCAGTAGAATCTGATGTCATGTTGTACAGTCATGTACATAATCTACGCGTAAATCTACAACTTTTGCCAGATCAGACAGATGAATGAAGCCACAGAGCTCTGGCCGCTGGAGCGTGCAGCGAACGTGTAGACAGGATCTTGGACTGCTGCACCGTCCGTGTCAGTTGAATGCGGAATCGTTTTTTTCTTGCTCGTTGCCGTCTGTAGCCGTGTAGGTGTTCTGGGCGGATGCGTGTTCTGCTTGCGGCCCTTCATTATTGTTATTTTCTGGGAGTTTGAGAGACGCTCCGTCGCAATCCGGTTGCGGAAGTTCAGCGCTTTCGTTCGTTACCTGCCAATCGGCAGGTGGCGTTTAGATTTGTGGGACTACCTATCGTCCGGGTCAACGTTACCAGAATAGCAGACGCCGGACAAGAACCATCCGGCCGCTTTCGGGAGCAGGTGCTTCTCCCTGGCTTGAAGTCAGGTAAGATTCTCCCATTCAGTCCCCAACATTTCACTGAAGGTGTGCGCGGAGTTCTAGTAGTACAGCAGCCAGCCCTAACCCGTAACTATTTATTAGAGAATGCTTCTGCTGATGTACAGTACTCCGTGTCGTGTGCTCACATTTGTCCGCATGGTATTGTATTGTTCGTAATGAAGCGCAGCAACAGCAATTCAAATGCGAAGGTATTTAGGCTGCTGCAATATCCACTCACTCTCAATCCTTGTGTTTTACAAACAGAGAAAATTAGTCGATGAATAATTTCGTCAAATTCCAAAGAAAGGACTTCTTTCAACCGGAAACGGTGACCATTCACGAGAAAAACAAAATTGATAGGAAAGTTTTTTTGAGCTGAAATTTTAGTGAAAAAGTTGTCAGCGCTTTCTAGGTTCTGCACAGTGCCATAGCTTAGATTGTTAGAGCTATGCTCATGACAAGCAAGGTCGCAGGTTCCAGTCCTGTTGGGGTTTACATTTTGTTCTCTTTTCAGGCAAGTCCTAATCCCGGACAGATCACTTTGCTGGGGTGCCACCAGGTTCTAAAAAGTTGTATGACCGAAAGGAGGCGAAGAGGAAGAGGGGGTCTGGGGGACATGTCCCCCTTAAAAAATCTTATTATCGGGAGCGCGTTTTGTATTGCAAAGACGTTTGTATCAGTTTGAATAAAAAATATAGGTACTTCCGACTTCCGACTTGTCATTACAATTGTCGCTTCGCACATCGCAATGTTTGTGACTTGATTGTCTTAGTCAGGCTATCGAAATCAGTGATTTCTGTGTTCGAACATTGGTATGACCCTTCCCACGCATTTGTTACGAAAGCCGTTGTGGTCTTGGAGCTCTCTTCCGCATCAAACAAATTCTTCGCGTTCCGCAATATTTCGCCCAGAGTGCGAATCTTTTTTCTGTATTTCATATCGGCCCACATTCCCTCCCACCGCTTTAGGAGCTGCATATGCGCCTTGATCCTTGAAGGGTTGGTGGCGTTCATGCGGATGCGGCAAACTCGGCCTCTAGCCGAGTCTGACGCAAACCGTGATTTTTTGCAAACAAAGGGATACGAATCCTGGTATATCTCTTGAATTTGGCATGCTGAAGTTTAGTTTTGCAAGAACAAAGTGTTCTCAAATTCCTGAAATGCGCTACCTGTGGCGCATGTTGCTGCGAAGGTAGCAGGCCTGAAAACAGCAACATTATCAGCGCAGTGCTTGTCAATGAAAGAAGGTGCTGAACTGCTTACCCTATCTCTCTGCTGCTGCTACTGCTCATTATAATCTAGTGTAAAAATGCTAGTATGACGTCATCGCCTGACACCTGCAGGCATCCATTGCTTGAAAACAAAGTTTCATGACCTGAATTTGCACACGCTTTTTGTTCAGCGTTTTGTTGAGTACAGAAGGGTACACCTCAAATCCTGCTGAAGACGTCGACCCCAGCCGCAATTGCAGCAAAGCAGGAGGCCACGAATTGAAGCTTAAGCTGTGTTCACAACTGGTGCGTGGACGCGGTACGCTTGCGGTTCATGCGTGCCCAGATGCGCACTAAGCCTTTCACAAAAAACAGCAATCCGAGTCGTATTTAGCGTGTTTAGCGACACCTTCGAGTACCAATTTTTGGACCCCGCCAGTCAAAGTGACTGCTGGCATGTACGCTGGTACCCCGCCAGTCAGAGTGACTGCTGGCATGAACGCTGGTACCCCACCAGTCAGAGTGACTGCTGGCACGTACGCTGGTACCCCGCCAGTCAGAGCGACTGGCATGTATACTGGTACCCCGCCAGTCAGAGTAACTGCTGACATGTACGCTGGTACCTCGCCAGTCAGAGTGACTGCTGGCATGTACGCTGGTTCCTCGCAAGACAGAGTGACTGCTGGCATGTACGCTGGTACCCCGCCAGTCAGAGTGACTGGTGGCATGTACGCTGGTACCCCGCCAGTCAGAGTGACTGCTGGCATGAACGCTGGTACCCCACCAGTCAGAGTGACTGCTGGCACGTACGCTGGTACCCCGCCAGTCAGAGCGACTGGCATGTATGCTGGTACCCCGCCAGTCAGAGTAACTGCTGACATGTACGCTGGTACCTCGCCAGTCAGAGTGACTGCTGGCATGTACGCTGGTACCCCGCCAGTCAGAGTGACTGCTGGCATGTACGCTGGTACCCCGCCAGTCAGAGTGACTGCTGGCATGTACGCTGATACCCCGCCAGTCAGAGTGACTGCTGGCATGTACGCTGGCACCCCACCAGTCAGAGTGACTGAATGACTTCTGGCATGTACGCTGGTACACGCCTGATACACGCTGAAAATTACAACTACAGATAATTAATAATTGGTTTACAAATCAATTGGCTGGAAAGCCCAGTGCCCTCCCTATGCTTTGCTTTCACCTAGGTAATCATGCTTGTTACTTCAGTTTTCTAATCATCAATTTCTATAAAACTGATAGAAACGTCTTTTCATTATGATTATCAAGTACATCTTTATGTATGTTTGTGCAAAGACGTTTCTATTGGTTGGATAGAAATAGAGGATTTCTTATGGTATGCATACTCCACTGCAGCCACTTCATTACATGGAGATCCCTGCACACACCATTCTCAAATCAAAAAGTCTCTTCGCTGCAAATTACTTATGTCTCAATCATATTTTCTTACAAGAAAACTATGAATTAGCCTCTGGGATATAGCTGATGCTATTACCGCTCTTTAGAGATCGGATAGCTCTAATTCTGCGATGACCATGCCTGGATTTTACCGGAAGCCTGATTGATTATCTTCCAAGCTCTGGGCGTCGAGACCCCCAATATAATGGTCAAAACACAATGATCCCAAGGGACCCATTGGAACTTAATGAGCTGGAGGAGTATGCCCCATGTCCTGGGAAATTGTCAGAGAAACAACCCAGGGGATTAAGAGCAGAGCAGAAGAGTGCGGTTTTTACCGCTCTTTAGCGACGAAATGGCTCTAGTCTAGTGCCATTTTCTGCGGATTCTCAATCTGTCGGAGTGCTTACTCCAAGAGTTGTCATTATTAACGAAGAGCACAGCTTCAAGGGTGTGCTGTAAAAGACGGAAGGTCGTTTGCATCCGCTTTTGTAGATTTTCCCGGGAACTGGAACAGGGGGGTTGAAGTCAGTATCTGCAAAACTTAGACTGCGACAGAAAACAATAGCCTGATCTATGTGTTCGGTTTTCTTTGAACATGCGAGTGAGCGTGCGGACATGTTGGGGCCTGGAGTGGTGAATGGATGTCCAGTAAACGCTGTGATTGATACAGGATCCGCCGCTACATTGTTGTCAGAGGATTTTGCTGACCGCCTACCTAAGGAGCCGGAAAAGGAAATTGGTGCCAACGGACAACCACCGCCGCCCGAGACGAGGAGGACACCGCTCTGGTATTTGACACTGCTCCGCCAGTTGGCATGATGGAAAGGCGAACCACGCGTTCCCGCCATCCGCCCCAGCTGTTTGGGAGTCCTGTGTGCCACTAATGAGTGACTTCAGTGGTACCGACTGGATTGGTTGTGTTCGATATTACAGTTAGTTTTGGAACAATTTTGGTAGGGACTCCAATTTGACCTGCACTCGTGAAGTTAAAATTGTTAGCCATAATCTTAGTTTAATTTATTAAGTTACGTATAACACAAGGGCGTGTTCTTTTCCGTGTAAGCGGGGGGATATGTCGTATCCATACTATTGACACGTGCCTTTCAGGCCTCTACGTGACAATTCTCAGTGGCGGATCCAGGGGGGGTTCCGGGGGTTCCATGGA